GGGGGGGGGGGGGGGGGGGGGGGGGGGGGGGGGGGGTGAAGTCCTTGTTTGTGCGCGTTGAGGGGAGTAAGCACCAGGTTAGACACAACATTGGTGTTTAGGCTGCGGACACAGCATGGCTTTGTGTGGGTGTGGAGGGGGGGCAGGGGGCACAGCTCATAGAGGGTAGGGGGGGGGTTGTCCTGATTCTGCTCTGTTTTACATCCACACAGAGAAAGATCAAGCAAGAGAGAGGAAATGGGAAACAAAACATTCTTGGAAATGGTGCAGTAGCACGTAGATGAGCTCTCTCTCGTTGTCTGAATCGTGGCTGAAGCACTGCAGGTGTATGGTTCCTTTCCTTTCTTCCTCTGAAGAAAGGAAAGCCTGTGGAGCAGGAGGTCACTGAGGCTTTGGAAACATCAAGAGCGAATGTTCTCTCGTTAGTTCTGCCTTGTTACCTCTTTCCTTCTGTACTGTCTTTGGGCTCTTTTTGTCATAAACTTCTTTCATACTTTCCATCAATTACTCCCCAACAGTACAGCAATGTCTGGTTTTATTCATCCAGATGTGTTGGTGTTTAGGTGCGTACATGTTTCTACAGTCCCTCTCTAGTCAGACTTGTGTTGAGATATGTTTGCACGCAATTCTTTGCGATTTAGTTACCGGATGCCACCAGAAAGTGGCACAGCAGCAATCGTTCGTAGGTCTCCACCAAACATTGGATTCCCTTGGATTTGTGATTATTGCAGAAAGTAATCTCTGTGGCAAACACAAGTTCATGATAATAACACGTTTTGTTCAGCAAGAAAATCTTCACAAATTTTATCTTCACAAAAGAACTACACCACGGTCTGGTGAGCGCGAGTATACACAGTGAAGCTGTGAAGATGGATTTGTCGTCTCATTTAACCACTTGTTATTAACCGCCTTCTTTAAGGCACGTAAAAGCTTTAAAAGTGGTGTATCTACTGTTGTATTTTACTCATTAAAATATCTTGTTTGTGTTAACCACAGACCTTATGTTTGGCATCAAACCAAAAACCCATTAAAACCAATAAATTGACTTTCATTTTTGCTGTAGGACTCATTCCTGCAGCATTATCGATGAATGCAGGTTGAAGTTGGTCAGCAGAGCAATATTTTGTGTCAAAATTCACCAGAATTAAACTGATTTACTTTGTCTCAGCAAAGCAAATCCACTGACCGCAGCAATTCCTTTTGAATTTATAGATTTTAAAAAACAACCGTGACACCCACAATCAGTATGTCAAAGTTGACGTTGTTTTATTCATTGCGATTAATGACTCGCCTGACGGCTACTCATCTGTCATCACCTCATAAATCCCACCCAAATCTGAAATAAACAAAAACACCATTTCCCAAAGTCATCCTCCCGCTTCACCACCAGAAGTGTAACTGCAGCCAGCATAGCGGCTAAAGCTGCGTCACGCTATGCCCAGCCGAGGCCCAGTGACCACAGCGTGCTGTGCCCAGTCAGCGTAGCGAGCAGAGTTAGCGATCGCCCTGCTGGGATCGACCATGGAAGAACTGAGGCTCCACCAAGCCTTTCGCTCTCCCGTCGTCACTACAGGGAACCAACACGCTTTTACTGTGGGCTTGTTATCGTTCCATCACGAGCGTGAAAGTGTTTATTAAAGCTACAGTATCTACAGTATACATTCATTTGGAATGCATGGTGCAGTGTAAGCATGTCATTAGCATTTTTCATTGTCGTGGAATGTTAGTACCCACCATGTTTATGTGCAGTACATGCGTTAAGTGCCCAAGTGTATTCAGTATGCATAGTACGCAGCTGCTCTGCGTGATGAGTATCTGCTCTGTATTCCTGAAGCCGTGTTGTGGGATTGTTGCGCCTTTAATTATTCTCTCATATTAAAGGATCAAAGGTCTCTGCCACAGTCAACCCCCTGCATTTCATTATAGCTGCGCGCACACACACGTGTGTGTGTGTGTGCACACTCCTTAACATGGGCACACTTTGGGAGGACATTGGTTATGTGCAATTTTTGAATTTTAAATGTGAGTTCCAGCAATTATAAAAGAGTTAAATGTTCGCCTTTTCAAGTTCTCCATTGAAGCGCCCAGCATGTTGTGTTTGATTCAGCCGCTCGGTGAGAGTTTTCTTTATCAACCAAGAGCTTGCACCAGTCCTCAGAAGGGTGTCACCGATCACCCTCTGGCATGAGGGATGGAGCATGTTTTATTCTCCTAAAGTACTTTCATGTCTGTGTGCACATTCACGCCTACATGTGCTTAAATACACAAGTGTGTGAGTGCCACTCTGTCTTTGCCCTCTCCCCTTTTGCTCCAGCACTGGACCAAACCAATCCTCTCCTCCGCTTCCGGAGGATTCTCCTGCTGATGGGCTGCTCCAGCACTGCACCCACAGCCCTTTGGTGCTCCCATGATGCCCCTGTGCTGTCACCACTCTGCTGCGTGGTGGCTGGCAGGAGGGGAGGATGCTGTGTGTAATTAGGGCGTACCCAAGCCTACCAGGGCAGGAGAGAGAGGGAACAGGGAGGAAGGAAGGGAAGAGGATCGAAAGAGGGCTGACAGTTTGACATCAGTAGAGCACACCGTCTGTGTAATTGCTGGCGTGCATATGGCGCAGGCCAAGGTTGGAGGCTTGTGGGAGGAAGAGGGGGTAACGTTGGATAGAGAGGAGTCAGAAATAGGAGGGAGAGCAGGGTGAGATGCAGCGTCTGAAGCAATGAGGGAAGAGTGCACGACATCCAAAGTGGGGGAAGAGATCGAGGAGAGGAAGGGGGTGAGGAGGAATGCAGATCAGGTGGTGGGGGGATGAAGTTTCAGGTGAATGACATGTATAACAGGGAATGCAGCATGTTGACATAGCACATGTCTATTATTACATACACATTGCCAATACGCGCACACACTGGCGCACTTCCACAGCTGGTGCACCGAAGTAAACATTTCTCTGCCTCGATGAAGCCTCAGAAAGCACCACAGGTAGTACGAAGAGTAAACGGGCTTGTGTGTGTGTGTGTGGGGGTGGGTGTGGGTGTGTGTGTGCACTTACGCCTACACTGGCTTATCTGCTTTTGTGTTCCCTTAACCAGACAATCAAGTTCCTTTGTTCGGCTGTAATTAGCACACACAGGTAATAGAGCTATCGGGACGAGGCCATACACACACACACACACACACACACACACACACACACAGAGGGGATATTGATCAGCAGAGAGTGTGTGTGTCCTGAGCGAGGGATCCAGATCGATGGTGTCCTGTCGTGTTGATAGATCGCCAATTCTGTGCGCTAGCTATTGAGCAGGAAGCAGCTTTTGGTGAGACCTGCCTCCAGGGTCTCACCTGCATCCCCACGATACACACACTTGTCTGCTCCATTATCTCACTCAGAAATATGCACCATGGCTCCCACATTCAGCTTCGAGGTTAACAGAAAAACTTGTATGTCTATTACATTTTTAGCCGTGCCATAACACCCTGTTTCTCTCTGATGGTCCCTCGTCATTTCTCCCCTCACTGCTCCATCCATCTTTGACACCCTCCGCTGACTTGCTGGACCATCTCAGTCTCCTGCTTCCTGTCATGTCTTATCTGTTTCATTTTACTGTTTTGTCATCTCTGTGTCCTCCTCCTTTCTGCATCCATTCCTCTTCTCATTTGTTCTTTGGGCCTCTTCTCTGTCCGCCTACTTGGCTTAAGACTACTCTGCAGTCCACCGCCTTCATCCCCTCCCCATTTTTTCTTTTCTTTTCTCCCATGTTCTCGTTCACTGACTCCCAGCACTCCCTTCCTCTCTCCTCCGCTCTGTCACCCCTCTAAAAAGACTCCCACTGATGGACCTGAACCTTCTGCCCAAGCCAAATTCTGCCCCTCATTCTTTCCTCCTGCACTCCATGCGAAGAGGAGCCCAATTAAAGTCCGTCTCTTCTCTTTCTTCCACTCAGTTGTTCTCCTCTCTGTGTGTCTCCACTCTCTGGGGTCGCTAATTAAAACGCTTCACTTTCTTTTCTCTTTACGCCACTTCTACGCCACACACACTTTTTTTTTTTTTCACCTGTTCATCCAATTTTCCTCTTATTTTAGCTTTCTTCATTTTTGGTGTGTTCCATCTCTCTGCCCTAACCTGTCTCAACAGCTCTGTTGTCGTCAGTCTCTCCATCTGTCTTCCTCTGGGTCTCATGTCACTTCATCACTCACATTCCTTCCCTTCATTTGTCACACATTTCTCTCCTCATTTAGTGTTTCTGCTTTGTCTTTTCATGCCGTTATGATTCATACAAAGTCTTGTGATTTCTTTCTTCCTGTTGAATTTGTCCTACATGGGTTTCCCTCAATCTTTCTCACATCTTCTCTTCCCCCATATTAGCTCGTACACGGGTAGCTCTTTATACTGCAGCTGACAGGAAGTCAGAAACTACAGTCTAAAGGAGCATGCATTATGCAGCTCTTCTGTTCTAATGATGCTGTCTTGTCCAGAGTTGTTGTTGTGCCTAAAGCCAGTCAACCTTGACAGAAGACGTGGTTGTGCATGCACATGCACAACCACATAGGTTTGTACATGCCTGTGTATATTTGTGGTGTGCAGTGGGAGAGTGAAGTTTATTTTACACTCAACTCCCCTCAGTGGTCTCAATTAGTATATGAAGGATTGTTTTTCTCGCTCAACACCGCTCCCTTGCTGGTCTGGAAGTAAAATGCACTCGTGTCATTGATATACATCGAATTGTAAAACATTCTTTTTAAGACCTGCACAACTTTGCTTTATCACTCTGTGTAATCGTTATGTGTAATATTGATGAACTATCCATCTGCTGTAACTATCCACGTTCCTTCGGGCACAAAGGAGTTATGGAATACCTGTCATCTGTCTTCTTTCTCTCTCTCTCTGATTAATCACCACCTCCCCTTCCCCTTCAGTCATGTATTACTCTGTACTCTATAATCGTTAAGTGAAATATTAATGTCGTTGTCGTTCTTCCTTCCAGGTTAACAGAAGGAGATCTGTCCATCCAGGTGAATCTGAATGACTACCTAGACATTATTTGCCCACACTACCCCGACAAGTGGACCCAGGGCCCCGGGCAGCCGGAGACGCTGGCCCTCTACCTGGTGGGAGAGGCCTCTTTCCAGGGCTGTGTGGAGACCAGAGGGGCCATCAAGAGGTGGGAGTGTAACACCCCCCATGCTGCGTTTGGACCAGTATGCTTTACTGAGAAGATCCAAAGATTCACCCCCTTCTCGCTGGGGTTTGAGTTCCTGCCAGGGCGCCACTACTACTACAGCTGTGAGTAGAGGATGTGTGTCCATACAAAAGCTGACAAAAAAACAAGTTTCTGGTTTGATCGGGACTCGTTTTGGTTGGTAAGGGCTGCAAAATAATTATGTGGACTATAAAGGAATCCATTAATTATCTATGAAATATCAAAAATTGGAAAAAATGTCCATCACAATTTCCTAAAAACCAAAGATGACATCTTCAAGAGTCTTGTTTTGTGCAACAGGAGAAATAAATAAGGCAAAGAAAAGTGTCTTATCCTTTCAACTAAGAAAAAATGACTTCAATCCCTTGAAAACTTGGATTAGGATCTTAAGTATTCCACAGGGAACAGTGTGTAGCCTTTAGGGTGATCTATTGCCAGACATGGAATATAATAAAGAAGTATGTTTTCTTTAGTGTACAAACACCTGAAAACCGTGTTTTTGTTACCGTAGAATCATCCGTCTATCTACATATAGATAGACAGCTGCCATGTTTCTACAGAAGCCCAGAACGGACAAACCAAACACTGGCTCGAGATAGCACCATTCACAATGTCACCTTTTCGTGTCGGCCACCGTAATTCTTCTTCACTTTTGTCACACAGGAGAAGTTTCAGTTCGTTGCAATCTGCAACATCAGCGCTAGATGTAACCAAATCGTACACACTAACTTTAAATGTTCATGACTCAATAAGCAAAAATCTACGTTCAAGCTTTGAAAACGGCGAGCATTTCATAACATCCCATCCTTTGGTAGCCCTAACTACAAGTTCAACACTAAAGACTCACATAATCTGCTTCATCAGGACTTCTTATTGCTAATAGTCACTAATTGATTCATAGTTGCAAATTCATTTCCTGTCATATCTCAGACAGAGGTTCAATACATGGCTAAAGATTTGCCTTTTTAATATGCAAAGAGCGTTATCAGGTACTGTCTTGTGAAAAACGTTGTTTCATTCTATTTCTATTCACAAAAAGAGATACGATTTTAACATTTCATTATTAGACTCTGACACCTGTGTTGGTGGAAGTGTGGCGGACAGGAAGCCCGAGATGTTGAAAGAATTCAAAGATTGAGTGCGTTTCACGAGGCTTTGAGCGTCTGCAAACTGCAGCTTATAGCATTAATGTTTTCCATAAATTCACGCTGCATGACCATAATTTGATGTTTTCTTAAACCTGTAGGCTGTTAAACAATTTTAGTGATGGTATCTTCTTTCCCCATTACACTCCCCTGTGCTCCTCTCCCCTCACTCACTTATCTCAAACCACTGGAGGGAGAAAAGGGAGGGAAAGACGGGAGATTTTAAAAGGTGGCTGTAAAATCAGTTGACAAATTCTGGTGTCAGTCCAACCAAAAGGAGTAGGACATGAAACAAGGCAGAGAATGAAAGAGTCAAGTGAACGCATGGTATGGAAGGGTGACAACAAAGAGACACAGGGGCCGCGCAGTGTAGGAGGAAGAAATGGAGATCAATACGGGACGACAGTGAGGGGGGGGGGGGGACAGGGAGAGGGTGTTAGAGAAGCGTGGAGGAGTGACAGAGGGAGAGAGAGCAAAAGATGGACACAGTCTGACAGGACAGGGGGGGGGGTTCAGATGAGGGGAATCCACATTGGAGAGAGAAAAGGGAGAGCAACAAAAGCGACGGAGAAAAGGGATGGATGAGACGAAGAGAAAGACAGAATCTTTACATAAATTACTGTTGCGGGACAATGGAGCATTGTGAGTGCATGAGAGAGTGCTTCCACCCACACACACACACACGTGTATATATGTACACACACTGAGCTATTGTGGTTGTTCAGACCCATTCAGAGAAAAGCAACAATGGCTGTCCCCCCCTCCCTGGTCGGGCCACATTGGGCTCACAGCGATTGTGTGTGTTTTGTCCACATCAAAGATAAGGCGTAAACTTGGTCCAAATGTCTGGCTCTGTGTGCTGAATGGGCCCGCAGCACTGGAGACAGTATAATGGCATTAGCCTGGGAGAACAGTACAATAGTATTAGAAACACTAATGTCATTAGTTGGCTCAGTCTGAGCTGGGCTCAGCCCCTCTCTACAGCTCCCACAGACACTGTCAACCCACTGTCTCTGGGTCTCTGCCTGACCTGCTGACCTGCTGACCAACAACCGCTGGTTCTCCATTTCTGTTCCCTAGAAAACAGGAAACACCTCAACATCCTCTGACGGTCCGCAGCTCTGAGCATGGAACCATTCTAGGGGGATAGTTTCCAGGGGACGCCTAAAACTGAAGAATGCAGTAGTAATTAGCCAAAGGCACGAAATTATGCAATGACATTGTTGACACCAAAATAAATTTTGGATTTTTGGAAACCGGAAGTGAGACGAGAGGGTGGAGCTAAGTACAACCGAGTGCTGAATATGGCATAGTTGGATCAAAAAGGTAACGATTAACTTTAAAGAATTGAAAACACACTTTGAAAGGGTTAACGTTGTATGACGAACACCAAGACCAGACAACGCAGTGGAAACCTGTCAGTCACGAGGTAGCCACACCGTAACGCATACCCAGCTTTATGGTCTATTTTACTCTAAATGGGACCATCATTTACTAAATGAACACCATGTTTTATTGAAGAAGACTTGAAACTAGCGATTGAGACCATAAGCTCATGTTTACAACGTGTGCTGAGGTAACAAATCAAGTGAGAAGTAAGGTCATTTCCACGAGACAGTCAGACTTCTTCTTGCGACCAGAGGAGTCGCCCCCTGCTGGCTATTAGAAAGTTTAAGGCACTCCCGCATTGGCTTCACTTTTCAGACCCGGAGGGTTGCCACCTGTTGTGCACTGGAGGTTTGAAGTTCTCACATCACGCTTGTGTAAGTTGCATGCTAGACCGTGATTGGCTTTCAAACTAGTTGTGATGTCACGAAATCCTGCCCGTTCTCGTACGTGTTAAACTGAGATTTTAGGTGAACTTTCAGCAGACAGCCTTCTAGTGTCAAACTGGGCAACTTGTGATGTGTTGCGTAGGACTTGCAGAATTTCTAGATTTGCTAGTACTTTCTGTTTCTGGTGAAAGTGCTTCTGTGTTTGCTTGTTTCATTATTTGCAGTATTTTGTTTTCTAAATTTGACGCATTTGCCGTCAAAATGGTGAAGCTGTTTAGTCTGTGAGCCTCCCAGCTGCAGTACATAGTGCCTTATAACAGCCTCACTGCCAGTCTGTGCTGTATCTTATACGTTGAAATTACTGATACAAAGTGGGACAGACTGTTGGCGATCATACACTCAGCTTGTGTGGTGGGTCCCTGTAGAGTTAGCAGCTGTTTGTGAATAATTCAAATGTAAAGCCATTTAGCTGCAGTTTCCAGACAGAAGTGTTTTGTAAAAGCAATACCAAACTGACAGGTAATACAGCTGATGTTTGCCAATTTTCCCTTGAGAGCCGTGATCAGTATTGACATCAAAGCGGTTACATTTTTTTTTTATGCTTGCACTCTCGGCAGTGTATGTTATTGTTCGTCGTGCAGATCGTGTCCCTGTGAGAGGAAGATGGTGTGATTCTTTTGTATTGAGGTATTGATTTGGTAGAAACAGGAAAACATACTTGCTGCTCTTTAGCTTTTCTTGTCATAAGTATTCTTCAAAAGTACAGAGAGAGATTTGATGGGAAGATTTTTACCCAGCATATCTGAATTTCTCTTTTTATTTGACACATTAGCATTTTGACTAACCGTTTGTCGGGTTTAATAGGTAAGCAGCATATTAAAATCTCCCTCCCTCCCTCCTCTAGCTCTACCCGCAGATGAAGGCCCTCCTCTGCCATGTATGAAGTTGCGTGTCACCGTGTGCTGCGAGCCCAGTGAGTACACTCCTCATTTCATCTGCTCTTCCTTTCATGCGCCCTCTTTGTAAACCAGGAGACTCCTCTCTCTGCCTCTCTCTTCTCTACTACCAGGGCATGATATTTAGACTGCTCCTCACCCCTACTACTATTCCTTCTCTCTCTCTCTCTCTGAAGAACTGCAATGCTCTCATCCTCCATTTTTATCGAGGAAACTAAATTCATCTTTACCCTTCAGAATCTTGTATTATCTTTAACATTGTAAAATTAGATTTAGCCCACTCTCCACTCCACGTTGGCTTTTAAAACTAATTGGATTGAGGGTTTTTTCTCTCTTCTCCCAGCCCTCCTCCTGGTCTCCCCCACTCTCCATCTCTCTGTCGCAGTGTGAAATTCCCAGAGTTGATCTAATCCAGAGCGCGCCTAGAGTAATGTTAGTCTTCCAGTCCAGTGAGCTGCCCATTCCGGTTGGGAATGTTGCCCAGTCGCTGTGGGAATCCCTGTACAGTTGGTGGTGTGTGTGAGCATTTCTGCGTGTATGACCATTTTTCTGTGTGTTTATGCATGGGTCTATGAGCCTGTGTGTGTGCGCGCGTGCCCCCTCATATGCTGGTCTGAGACGTCTGTCCCAGTTCCCATCCCAGTGCTAGCTGCAGGGGGCTTGTCGTGCTGTCCCAGGCTGAACTAACACACACTTTTTCCAGGAGAGCTGGACGCAAGGTTGTGTGTGTCTGCGTGTGTGGGAGACCCATTCACTTCATTTCTACACGTCGTCTAACGAATACCTCCCAACCACACCGCCTTGATTAAATTCATGTCACTTTTGTGTAAAAGAGAAAAATATTAAAAACCAGTATAAAAAGAGCCCCATCCGTCTCGAATGAATTCTTAAATGCCATCTCTGTTCCGGCGCGAGACGGGGAGTAATTTGCTGCGTTATTACCAGAGTGAAGGCTGATGACTTTTTTTGAAATGTTAATTATCCTGCTGTCATTAATTAGAAATACCACAGATAGTTGTTCAGTGAGAAAATGCTAATGTAGTCTTCTGACCTTCTGACAGTATTCCCAGATCAGCCTATCTGAGCCAGAAATAACCTAAATATTTGGAATCACCTGGACTACGCATGCGGGGAGACACATGCACACACACTTGACTTTACCGTTAAAGCCCATTACTTTACATTAGAAAGGCTTCCACCAAGAAAGATTCACATACTTCCATCTACTGTTTCCTTTTCTCATTTTTTTTTCTCTCCCTCTCATCCTGTTCCTTCACCAAAACTAATCCCGACTAAATGTCAGGATCTCCCTCTCGTTGTCTTCCACTCCTCCCGCTCTTTCTTTCTAGTCTTCAGTCATTCCTGAAGTGGCACTAATCCTCCCCTTCTCTCTGTCTCCTCAGCTCTCTCCTCCCTTCCTTGTTTTTTTATGATCTTTCGCTACTGGAGCAAAACTAATCTAGGCACCATCCATGGCAGTCTCTCACACTTCCTCCTCCTCCCTCCCCCTTTGACTCCGCCCCGCCCCCACCCAATTCCTCCTCCACCTTTCTCTGTGTCTTCTCTATCTCTTTGTTGTTTCTCCATATCTACCACACAGTAATTCGCCGACTCCCCTGTCCTCGATTCGCTCAATCTATGTCATGTGCATGCTGTGCGGCGAGTGCGTTGGGATGAGAATACATGAGGCCGGAGAGAGAAGAGCAAACGAGATGGATGAAAGTGGAGATTGAGGAGAGCTAGAGGGTCTCTCTCTCTTTCGCTTTCTCTTTGACTGTCCATTAGTGGCGGTTTACCACAGCTGTTGTGTTGTTCCCTGTGGTAACACCTTACATACCCTCTGGTTGCTTCCTGCTCAGGTTCCCTTTTATCTGACAGGTAGCATGGTAGCAGGGCTGTGTGTGTGTGTGTGTGTGTGTGTGTGTGTGTGTGTGTGTGGCCCTCGGTGATGGCAGCCTCTCGTCCTTCAGCTACATCTTATCTCGTATCTAAACTTCAACCCGTGCACCTCCCTCCTTGTCTCCCCAAACTTTATTTCTTCTTCTGACAAGCATGTGATTAAACGGTATTTCCATGTGGGTATGCCCTGTTGTGGGTGTTTGAATTAATTATCAGAGAGTACAAACACACACACACCTACACACCTGCCTCACACTGGTCTGAAGGACAGAGTGATGACAGTGAGAGGGTCCGTCAGTTACGCTGTCATTGCTCCAAGGTCAGCTACCACTCGCCTGTCCCTCGGTCTCCTCTCCAGTGTGTGAATGTGTGTTTATCTCCTTAATTTAACCCAAGAACACAACAAACCAGGCAGGACAGATTCAGTGGTGCAGGGAGCTCCTAATGACTGTGTGTGTGTGTCTGTCTGTGTGTCATGTTTCCTCATCCTGGTTGTTCCTCGCGGCAGTATAGAGCTTGGCTTTGTAGGTGTTGGTTATGTTTTTTGCCGTAGCGATGTGTGCGATGATGTTTATTTGAACACAACGCTGTCACGAGTCATGCCAGAGAAAGTGCTTTGCCGAAAGGTGCTTGAGCCCGTGTTGCATCAGAAAAACAAGGCGCTGAATCGTCATCAGCAGACTGGTGTCTTGTAAAGTCTTTGCCGCCCTGCAGCCATCTATTGCATCTCTCACCGACTCGCTTCGCCTCTCACTCCATACTTACCTTTTCTTGCTGCAACTTCTCCCTAAAACTCCTCCTGTTGTGTTTATCCCTCTTCTTCACCTTGTCGCTCTGCCTCTCTTCCTTTCTCTTTTCTCGCCGTCCTACTGTGAGAAACCATTATAGACCAACTTCCCTCTCTCTCTAATTGATTCCCGTTCTCTCTCCTCTCTTTTCTGTCGTCGTCCCGCTGTGAGCAGTCCATTGCATTCATTTCAATTTGCAGGGCTTCACCATTTTCCCCATTTTCTTTCTCTTTTTTTTTTCTGCTAGTTTTTTTTTTTTTTTTTATTTCTTACATCGCTGTCCTCCTTTACCCCCTCCCCTCTCTCCCAAATACCTTTGTACCCTCTGAACTCGATACACACAAGGACACAATACGAACGCTTGCTTGCTCGCTCGCGCGCGCGCGCGCGCGCACACACACACACACACACACCCACACCGCTTGCCCAGCCGAGTTCTCTCGGACGCTAAACTCGACACTCAAAATTTTACTTTAGCCGCTTTCGTCAATTCGCGTTTTTCGTTCGCGTATTTTCTTTTATTTTTAGTAAAGTGCTAATGGTCAGGGTTGGTTAGCATTAGCTCCTGCGTGTGTAAAATGGCGGCATAAGAGGAGAGGTGGGATGGTGGAACAGTGTCTCTCTGCAGGGGCGTTCTGCCTACTGGAGACACACACACACACACACACACTGCACTGGCATGCACACACACACACACACACTCGCACACTTAGCCATGGTTGTGCATGTACAGTTACACATGCTGCATGTTTCTGACTGCAGTGCAGAGGCGGCACTGTTCTTGCAGTCACGCCACCATGGACGCCATTTTGTGGCGGCGCTCACCCAGACTGAAATCATGATGTTGACACAAAGTCGTGGTCCTCAGTGTTCGGTTTTTTTTGTGCAAATGATGTGATTATAGACCGATCAAAACACGCATATCTCACACAGCCGGGTAAACACAAGGCATTTAACATTTTAGTTTCCAAATGCGGTGTGGCGCTACACACACACACACACACACGCGCGTGCGCTAATTGATGCTTTTCAGTAAAGTGTTTTTCCTCTTTCCAAGTAAATTATAAGTTTGATTTCAAAACATATTTATTGTTTTCATAATGTAATCCTTTTTTTATTGCTTCGTTTGCCGCATCCAAAATATCCACAATAAAAACTCACTAAAGTTAAGGAGTTGAGGTTATAAAACCAGGTTTTTCTTTTAAATTACATATTATTTTGTCAATTTATTTTAGAAACATTTTTTTTTTTTTTTTTTATTAAAATCATACATACACTGCAGATCAACGCAAAGGACAGCTAATTAATGAATATTCTTGAGTTGTTAAATTGCATTAAAACATGGGTTGATTGCAGAAATGCTACATTTTTCATAAAAAAATTAACATAATGATGATTTTTATTATCTGATTTAGTATTCCAGTGCTATTTAAAGCCTGAAATGTCTGGCTATTTCTCTTTTCTGTTTGCTTTGATTTCCTCCCTACAAACACTCACAGTTACATCCACACACACACACTCGGATGCACACACACCGGCTCAGTCAGAGGCCCCGACCCAGCATGCTATTTAATGCTTCGTTAACCCCTAGACGGTCGTTAGTTGTACGGGACCTGGGAGTAATTTAGTGTCTCATGTCTGTCGGAGCGTCATGTTGCTACAGAGACCTGTAGGGATGGGATGGCTATTCCAGACAAACACAATGTTTGGACACTAAGCCCTCATTAATAAACCCTTTCTCCCTCTGTGTGGCTGTAGAGCAGATGAGCTCAGTGTCCCATTTCCTCTCCCATAATCCGTCAGTCGCAGTGGGATGTGAATAGGTGGTAGTTTTCCTGGAGACATCAATACACACTTTGTCTTCACGTGTGTGTGTGTTTGAGTCTTTGAGGTTGCACTGTCATAGATGGGTTCAAGGCCGTATCGATTTAATAACGGTTGCAATTGTGCAGCCTCATCCCTGTTCCCTGACCTTTCTCTCGCACTACGTTACACGGCAGTTCCTTTTTCTGAGAGGTTTTAACCATATCGGCTTTTTATTCTCACCACCTGTATTTCTTTTCCTATTCGTCTTCTCTTCACCAGCTCTCCCACCCCTCCCTATCCCTTCATCCCACTCATCCTTCCCTCCATTATTTCCTTTTAGTCCGCCCCCTGCTGAGAAAGTGACGTCCAGACACAAACACCCCCCTATCCCGTCTCTTTCTCTCCCTCCCTTTTCTCTCTGTCTGACCTTGTTTCAATCTTTCCAGCCTTCTTTTTCTTTTTTTTTTCTTTTTTTTTCTTTCGCCATACTTTCTCACTCGGATCTCCTCTGCTCTCTCTTTCATCTTCTGTCCACTTCTTGGTTTCGCTCTGTCATTTTGAATTTTCGTGTGTTTTTTTTTTTTTCCCCCTTTTTCATTTCCTGTATCCCCTCTGTATAATCTCCATCATTCTTACTCCTACTAATTTACATAACACTATCTTTTCCTGTTGCCATGCTTCTCAAGCGCTTTTTTTATCCGACCTTTAAGAGAATTTGCATAGGGGACATATTTAGTGTTGCGCAGCCAGTCAGTACACATTTTTCATGGCGTAAGGCTTTGAGTAATGGTAAATACCTTCCCTTGGTCATTTGTCTGTTTCTTGCTCCTTTTGTTCCAGGAAGCAGTGGCTTTATTGAGAAAGTTAAGCACACAAAAATGACTAATCAGCATCTTGTTTCTTTGGCTCAACTTTATCTAAATCTTCTCTCTGTGCTCTCTCTCTCCTACTACAGCATTAGAGGGTTCAAAACAAACACGAGGTGAGATGCAACATTTCAAACCCAATGTATTCTTAAACGCAGGTGTCTCCATGATGTTTTCTCTGCCCATGTGGTTCATTTGCATGACTTGATTATAGCAAGAACGCGGCACATCATCTGTATGAAAACATGACGGTGAGAAACTACATACAAATCTACTTTAATTAATCAGTCATGCAAATTAGTCAAATGGAAAATGCTCCTCCTTCTCTCTTCTGGGAAGTTTTTCCACAAGATATTGGAACCTGGCTGCAGCAATTTGCACCCATTCAGCAACAAGAGCGTTGTCGATACAGAGCAATAAGACTCGCACTCTGTGCTCCAATTCATCCCAAAGTTGTTCTACGGCTACGCCAATCTTAGAAACCAAAGACCTTCTATAACTTGTTGTCACAAAGTTAGGAGGCATACCATTGTTTATAATATCTTTATATGTTGTAACCTTATCATTGTCATAAGTTGCAATTAAAGCGGCTAGTCCAAGCTGTTTCATAAAGGTTCCGTCTCTCTTCCAGGAACTGTACATGAAAGCAGAGGCTCCTCCCTGAGGACGGCTTCACCTCCACTCCTCCTCGTCCTCTTATTGCTGACTACCTGACTTCCTCATCCGTCCTCACCGCTGACCTCGCACCCGTTTTCCCCAAGATTGGGAGATTTTTTTGTTGCTCACCCATCAAGTACACAATGCAATCTACACTCGGGACAGTGAATGACACAATGCAATCTATGCTAAGCTACTGCAAATGACTCGTATTGCCTTGCGACTGGTTTACCTTTGAAATTCGAGAAAGAATCCGTTTCTTCTCCAGAATGTTACTCAGGGACCGACGCGCTGAATCACAGTGATTCATTTCTTGTTCTTTTTCTCGCACCATTTGTGTCAGCAGTAACACAGAATATTACACGCACAGTCATAAGACTCAGAGCCCACTCTGAAGCCAGAAGACCAATGACTCTGCCGGGAAGCAAGTTTTCCCACTTTTTCATCTCCACTTCTCATTTTTTACTTATTTTGCTTCTTTTTGAGAACCTGCGTCGTGTTAAAAAGTGGCCTCGTAAACAGAAGCTACTGTACTGAGCGGTTCAGGTCGGAGGTCAGTCTGCTTTATTTCTCTACATGGTGATACATAAATAACTGACACATTTGAACTGTTTCAGTTGCATCTCATTAAGATAGACGTGTTTAAAAACAGTTTTTAACCAATTAGATTTAGGAAATAAAGGTGTTTTAGGAGCAATTGGGCAATATTCTGGAATCATCAAGCAGGGCTGCTGCGCCCCCTACTGGGATCAAACTGGTTGAACTGGAGTTGGACTGGGATGGCCATGAACTGGACACACAAGTTAGACACTAGTGCTGTATCGTAATAATGGGACCTGGGACAGAGTTTGTCCTCTCTGATCGGACCCCCCCTGTTGTTCTGCCTCCCCACTCCTCTCTCTGCCTCAGAATATAGCACAGAACAGAGGGGTTTATGGGTAAATGGAGAGCCTCGCCTCGCTCCACTGAACACACTGCGGACCACTGAGGAGGCTGATTGGTGAACAACCAGGTGTGCAGATATGCACACATGCTTTTTGTTCTTTTTGTTGTTTGTTTTTACACAGGATCCTTGATTTTAGGTTTTACTGTATAGTTAATATATTCTACAAAATGAGATATATTAACTACATAATTCAACATTTTAGTCGGAACTGATCTCTCGAATTTAAGTGCAAAAAATGTGACATACACAATGACTTGTATTCTGGATATATATGCATTTACTGGTATTTTCAAATTGCTCTGCTACAGTGTAGTTTCACAAATTAAATATGATTTTTGCCAAACGTTTTTTTAACAAATTGCCCAAATTGACTGTCACAGATTAAGAAAATATCTATTAATCAATGAAAATTATTTTTTTTTAATTGAAATTCGAGATAATGTAGGTGTATTTTTATTGAAATTAAATTAAATTAAGTTTATATATTTATGGTTGCATAATAATTTCCCCACAATTTGAGTGACTTAAGCTCTGAAAATCTATAGTTTAAGTGTTTCATTTATTAAACAATTTATTCTATCTTAAAAAGAATATACTCCATTGTTAGCACTTCTGTATGCTGTAACTCACACCAGTCATGCTATTTTTTTTAAAGTCATCTTTTTCTTAGGTTTATTTCCTAAATGAATGAAAAAACCAAATGTTTGAAGATAAAGAATAATTTCAAAGACGTAGACTTTTACAATCATGTACAACAAGGAATTTGTTTTTCATTTCTTTGCGTGTGTGTAACGTGTTCTGCTTTCACATTCTAGTGAAGAATGTAGCTTCTTCTGTGAAGAGCCAACTGCAATCTGAGCCTTTTTTGTATGTGACAACAAAAATAAATATGATTGCATTTAAACGCTTTGAGTCGATTTGTCAGTTAAACTTTTAGAAGTATTGATTGTTTTATGCAACCGCGAGTCTCTGTGAGAACACACACACACACACACAACTTTATTTGCGGAACACACACGTCAAGTGTAATACATGTGTATTTTCGATAAGGAGACTTCAGGGACTTGAAATGACCTTGTGGTGCAAGAGGCCATTGTAATGTGAGTAACTTGGTGGAATATTGAGCTGAGTTTTTATCTCTGGGCAGCCAAAGCCTGATAAGACTCCTATAGACTCCCGGTATTAAGACCCTGAAGCATCGTTGCAATACATCAACCTTAAAATAGTAACTGTATTTATTGTCGGTGAGGGGGAATACAGGGCAAGAGGTGGTGTTTTTGTTTCGTAAATATAGAAGTGTACATAAAGATAAGCTGTAAATGTATTTCCATTTATGTAGGCTGTAATGTAGAGCCTCTTGTGAAGCCAGAGAGGCAATTTCCTGGATAATATGGCTAATACTTCTATTTCATGGTTTATGATCTCTTCTGATGACATGTTTGTCACTGTTGAGGCATGTTATGAGCTGGCTTTGATTTTGACCTTCACAAAGACATTTCCAAAGCTTATGTTTTCCTTCTGCTTCCATTGTGAATGATGAAGTGAGCATACTGAAGTCAGCAGGGCGATACTTTCAGACTGGCATTAAAGGAAGCCACTGCAGTAAAGGGAGCCTGTGTCCACTTGCATTTTATGTGTAAAAACTGTACGGCTGTTTATTCCAGCAGAAGCATGCACAAACCAACACTTTAATGTAATAGTGTGATATTGAGTTTTTTTATGTTTTATCTTTGATTCCAGACAGGAAAAGCTTGAACAATGTCTGCTGTGCATCAATGTGCTGGAACTGAACTCGCTCTCCGAAATAAACGTCATAATTATGGACAGATGTTGCCATATTATCTAAATTTAGAAGATCATGAAAATCCCACGTCAAAGCTTCCTCAGAGGCTCTCTGGGGTGACTGGGATCATAAACAATTTCTGGGATGACAAATTTAGTTTTTAACTATCTGTCTGACTAAAAAAAAATAAAAACAATCCTTGTTGCATATCCATATCGCAGCTCTCCTTTTCCACCAATGGCACTGTAATTACACTGCATCATATTTCTACACAGCAGGCTCTTTTCCCACAAGTTGGCCTATATTTAATTGGACATCGGCTGAACATTTAAGGCTCGGATTGCCTGTGTGGATTACATCTTCAGAGATACAAAACTCTGGCTATTAATAGAAGCAAACGATGCCTATATAATTGTATTGTAATTACTTGAACAAAGACATTTTTATGGGCGCACTCACAGGTCAATATATTTTAAGGGTTACGATAAATTATTATTAAATACTTGAATGCATTTTACAGCAGAAAATGTACCTGCTGAAATACATTTGAAGATATATTTTTGCTGTATTTGTTACATCAACCTATCAATCCATCCATCTTGTATTGGTTTTTAAATCCTTGCAGGGTAACATGTAGGAGTAGATGTCCTGGACACATGCGTCTAGAACCTTTCCTAGAATTTTGGAAGGATGTTTTCACAGTTACGCGTTTCTCAGCGTGTAATCAACACCTTGATCGGCGGCGTTCATCATCCTCGTTGTGAATGCTGACCAGTGTGTATTTCACGTACTTCAGAATCAAGGTGAACTGAGGTGAGAGGGCAGCCCTGTTGTAGGAAAACTTAAGATCACGTGGTCCTTAAGAAAATATGTTGGCTTTTTATTTTGATTCTATTGAAGTCACAGCATCCATAATCCTCTGGGAGGTGAAGTGATACAAGGCCAAACTGGCTTTGTCTGGACATTCTCTCCTTGGAGGCATTCCTCATGTATATTTTAACAAAAACATCCAAAGATTGTGAAGAATATTATGCAGTCAGCACTGAAATTGTACCTTAAATATGTTATTCTAGACAAGCTAAATCTTGTTAAGATCCTGTATTTATTTTTGATGGTATTTTTCTGACTACTTTTGCTGTTTCCTTTTCACAGAGATAGGGCGATACAATTTATTGACTAGCAGAGCCATTTAGAGATTTCAAGGGTGCCAAAACCCACTGATCTTTCCAGCTCACTATTCTAATGTTTACTTGTCATTCCTGCCAACTTCCAAAACCTTTTTGCATCAGGAAATGTGACTGAATCCCAGTTTGAAATCTCCTGATCCTCTCAAACAGCTCTGGACATAAAGCATCTTCTAGCATGAAGAAGCAGAAGCTGTGAGAACAGGAAAATAAAGTCTTGTCCTGGTATTCTTCTGTTGGGTGCCATCGCTCCCCTATATCAATAAGCAGCATCGCTGTGTTGTCTTCTCCTCAAGGTATAACATCTGAGCTGTGTGTGCATTCCTGCAAAAGAGCTCCGAACGCTTTTGGTGGAGACTTTCACAAAGTCGAGGACTTTGTTAAAGTCTCCACCAATCAGCCAAATGTCACTCAACATCTTGCAAATATTGCGTCAACTTTTTCAATACTTGATAATCAGAGACAGTATATATATTTCCCCGGGTGAATATTTGATCCTTCATGCAGTGCAGAGTAAAAGACCGACTTAACACGCGACAGTAAATCTGTGAAGCAGACCCTCCATATAAACTCCTTTAGAGTCTTCAAAATCCAGTTTAAGAACAGCCCTTTTATTTATTCATGGCGGTTTCACGTCACTTGTTTTCCCAGTGACACATCTAGGAATAATTTCAATGGCCCTGCTGATCATATACGATACTTTATATATATATATATATATATACACACACAGAAGTAAACCAGTAATAGTTGCTGTGCATCCACAATTGTAGAAAATATTGCCTTGATTCGAGAACTCAACTGTGTTTTTAGTCATGATATAGATGCAGAAACCCTAAAGCTTTAAAGCTGAAGTAAGCTAAATATTTATTATGACTACCAGTTTAAAAGTTTGACTGTGATAATGACACTAGATGGCACAAAACTGCGTACAAAAAAAAGAAAATCACATATTTCAAATCATTTATCAACTTGGAGATTCAAAATGTCGCCTGAAATAATAATAAATGAGTCAATTGAAATAACACATTCACTCCTGAAAATGCCACATCACCACACATACAGCTTTGGACAAATCTGTTGTTTTTACGCTACATTTCATTATATTTATACAAAGTGATTCACTGCATCATTTACAATCAGAGTTCTGTTGGAAGATAAAAAAAAAAGACAACACACGTTCCCCACTCAGGTTCCATGTGTTGCTTCGTGTATTGTATGTGAGACGTTGGGCTGTGAAAGCCTCTGAGGATTATCATTGAATAATTTTGCAGCCTCGATTAATCGGTGTGCTATTTAATTTCCAGGTAATGAATAATAGTCGGGGCTTTTATTTCCTCTTTGGGCATAAGCAGAGTTTGTTTGTTCTAAATAAATTCTAAAGTAACCGCGTCTGCTTGGCCCACTCCTGTTCACATCTTTCACACGTGTCAGGCAGCCGATAACAGCATCATTATTTCTTCTGTGTGCTCACAAAGCAGGCATATCCAGTGTGTCACGCAAACTGTGATGAATGTGGATGGACCGGATCATAACGAAGGAAGGAAAAACACGTACGTATGAACTGTTATGGTGCCGAGCTCCAGCAAGAGCACTTGTCAACAGATAAAACGTCTTTTGTGAATGTGCTCTCGTTCAGATCCATTGATTTCATATTTTGTAATAACCCAAGGACGCTCTGAAAAGCATTGCAACTTTTTAGGGATGCCCAAGATATCATCTGTAGAAAGTTTATTCCCATGCCTGATTTTGAATACATGGATTCATACATTACATTGGCTTCAGAAAAGGTCGGACTTTATGGATGCAGTACTAATCTTTAATAACAAGAATCAGTGGACATTCGCCGGGCCTTTCTAGTGTTAAACATCTCTCATCTTTCTCACACAATGTTTGAAATATGGCTGTTGAGTGCAAATGAGCTCCAGTTGACTTGAGCTGAGCAGTTTTCAGCTTGCTGGTTGAAGTTTCACAGACCCTGGCCCTTTACATTAAAGCAAGCTCGCTGCACGTAACGCATTTCTAAATGCATACCATGTGTGCGGTTGCAAGCAGGGGGTCTCGGTGCCGTGTACCGGACCGCGAGCTGTGACAAACTCAGGATTATGAGACTGGCTTTTATTTGAAGACACCAAAACCAGACACAGACGAGTTAAAGTCAGTCACACTTCACGTGGCAGCCGAGCAAAGCAGCCTCCTTCCTCTTTCTCCTTTCCTTCCTTCCTTTCTTTCTCTCTTACTTTCATCCACTTTTAATGTGTGACACTTTGATACTGAACATCCTATTTCCTGTGTTCTGGTCGGTTGGCTTTACATGCAGACGGATTGGTAATTTGCATAGACTCAAAGGTCTCCCTTCTCTCCTGATGCTTTCTGACAACGGCGTGTCTATTCATCCTCTGTGTTAAGCGTCCCTCCGAGAACATCGCCTCAATTGCTGTCTCATGCTGCTTCAAGTCTCGTTTTACACTGCAGGAACTGATGAGGAATTGGATTAGGAAGATATTCCTTGAGAGGAAAGCATCGCAGTCACCAGGGCAGGCATCTGAAAGGTATGGTTCACTCCGATATCAAAGCTTGTTGCATGTTTTTGTACAAAGTCAGATGCCAAGTCATGCTGAGATCATATCACACACAGTTAACTCTGGATTCTGTTTTACCGAAGAGTCCCACCTGGGAGATTTGAAGAAAATAACTGATCACCCCAGTTCTTCTTATCCTCACATCACCTTTAGTGGCATACTTCCACCAGCCGACCAACAATCTCTCTTTGGAGAGCCAATTAAGTTTAAATATGCACAGGAGGTAAAAGAAATAGAGCTTTTCTTTTTTTATTCATGCTTGCTCCACTTCGTCTCAAATTACACAAAAGTTGCTGTATCGGAATTTCAGCAGTGTTTTGTTTGTGCTTTTGTAGAATTCAAACAGACCCTGTTTCAAAAGCACAGCAGTGTGAAATTAAAAAATAAGATATTCATAAACATGCATTTGATGACCAAACACATAACAAAAGTATTTTAGTCCAGATACTTTTAGGCCCCTAGTCAATACCCATATCCTCCCACTTTGTCACCCCAAGACGTGTTTTTCTTCCTCTTCTGGGTCAAAATCAAAACATCATCTTGGAATTCATAAGAAGAACTGAACAAGAATCCAGAGGTCTAGTGCACAAGAACGGCAGAAAGGAAGGAAGTGGTGTGACGACTACAGTAGAGAGTGGCTGAATACAGTAGTGAAGCCCAAACAGACATGAAGGATGAAACAGGACAGTGAGAGTGACGGAGTGTCAACTGAAAGAGGATGAAGATGGAACTGTGGAAGACAATGGAACAAAAGGACAAAGCAAATAAACTTTAGAGAGATATACAAATGTCAAAATTAATTTTGCTACTATGGTATCATGTATTGATAGCAAATGCAGAGGTGGAAGTGAATTCAGATATTTTACTGCAGTATGTTGTAGCTGTTTGACATTAGACTTTGGACATTAAACTGTTTTTTTTGTTTTTTTAAATTAAACCATATGAGCAGTTTAGTGGGGAGATCGCTCTTTGAGTAGAACTGCTAACTGAAATATGACGAGCGGTCACAAGCTAAAGGTTGGGAACCATAATGTGTTTATAATATATGTGTTTTATGAGATAATCATGTTTAGTTTTTTTAATGTGGAAAATCATGGACATGTAGTGGACTAAAAAGTACATTTGCTCCATCTTGAATATAGTCAAGTAGTCAACATACCACTGAGCAAGTGACATCATTTCATTGCCTATAGTATATGCTCCGCTCTTATATAGACCAGGATTTATTAGCTACTTAAGGCCCAGTTTTAGACCTTATTTTAAAAACATCATTAAATATTTAAAAATGCAGAAAATCCTCTAACTATATAACATAAGCAATGTTTACCCCCGCATTTACATATAACTTTATGTTTTGTCATATGCACAGATCCCACAGTGCATTATGTTGAATGCACATTTAGTATATTCTAATGGGCTAAGTGGTTTATCCACATTCTATCTTAAACAAAATGTTTTATACTTACAATGTAAGGACATCATTTAGAAAGACTAGCAATTGTAAGGTTGAACAGCTGTACCTTGCGCAAAGATGGTTTAAGAAGCTCGCAGAGAGACGCCCTGCGCACCTCCTGAAAGATGTGACCAGGCACCAGACAGAACTCAGAAGTTTGATTTGACAATCAGAACCGGGAGGTGGGATTTCAGGACAAGTACCTCACATACCTCACATAACAACAACCTGATTCATTCTAGGCACAGGATATCCTCATCCAACTCCTCCATGATTGTTTTCCATAGAGTTATGTTGGGCCAAACTTATATGGAACTGTTGAATCCCGCTTTTCAAATAAATCAAAGACTGCTAGTGGGATTTCTGTCCACTCCACTAACAATACGTGTTCTTGTTAGTTGAAGCCCTGGACAATAGTGTATGTATGCTATGTTGATTTGTGGAAAACACTTGTTTACTATCATTCAAGGTTGGATTTTTTTTTTTTGATGATTTGATGGCAACAACCAAAGATCCAAGAAATGCTCAAAGATGACGTCAATGGAATATATCTAATTTTATAATATTGGCATATGTTTTTAATCACTTTTATTATATACATTTTTAATACAAACAATTGTTTATATAATTACATTTGTATTATATATATATATAATGCACATTTTCAAATAAAATACTTAAAAAAAATGTATTTATTAATTTATGAAATGTCTAAAAGACAGATTAAATGGCTAAAATGAACCTTGGTGAAAATAAGTTTAGTAGACTTCTAAATTCATATAATAGACTTTTATTGATCGTCTGATAAGCTTCTCTGTAGTCATTGAAAAGACGATGTCCACTCAACTTTAGCTTGTCAACCTTGAATAACCTTAATTTATCCTCTACAGACAAGTAGACGTATAATATACATTTATCAAACTGGAAACGTCAGATTGTTTCTAACGTAAAGTGTACAAGCAAAACTGAAGACCAACTTATGGTCAGTATTTGAGTAAGCCAAAATGGAATTGGATGCTTTCAAGAAGAAGCAATTTATTTATTATGAGAAGAAGTTTATTGTGAGTAAAGTAACATATTGTAGGTGGTTATATCAATACAATTGAATTGCAGCACTATATACTAGAGAGAAACTAGACTATTTACTTACCTATAACCTGCGAGTAGAACAAAGTTTGGTCACATGGGGAACCCACCTCAGCCAGGAGTATAATTTTTCTTCCACACAAATATTCCAGACGGTGTTGTTGTTTTTTTACCACAAGACCAGAACACACACACCATTACATATCCACGATTATGAAGTCTCTGCTCATTGCCTCTTTTATTACCGTTATTATTAATAAATCAAGCAAGCCGTGAAGCCCGGACAGATAAATTAGGGGGGGCTGGAGGTGGTAATTGCTGGTGTAACAGTGTGTGCTACCCCGCGGTGGCCTCGTAAACCACCCGCTTTATTAGATCGGCCGGTATCGATCCTCGCTGCGCTGCGTTGACTAATCTCCAGGCGGGGGGAGAGAGAGAGAGAGAGAGAGAGAGGGAGAGAGAGAGAGAGAGAGGGAGAGAGAGAGAGAGAGGGAGAGAGAGAGAGAGAGGGGATCGATGAGCCTGGATTCAATCATGTCTGGAAACAGAGAAGGTAATTCATTGTAATCTCGTGTGCGAAATGGGGGGAAAAAAAAGTGAGAACAACGCGCCCTTGAGGTGCTCAAAGAGAACTGCAACATCAGGGTGGAGGTTTTCCGGTGAAGAGATGCTCAGTTAAATAAGCAGCAGTCTGCAAAATATGGATATTGAGTGAGACACAGATGAGTCAATACGAGCCTGTCGGTTGACCTTCAGTCGTCTGTCCACGCTGCTGCAGGCTGAGTCTCCAAAACCTGTTTGTCTCACCTTTACAGGAAACCGTTTCACATTATTCACCAGCATATTTTGATAGAGGTCTTTCGTTTTTACTGGATTAAGAAATAAGACAAATAGATTCATGAATAAGATAAATCAAGAGCAATATTTGAAGTCCTGCATGCTTCCATCTGTATGAGAGACTGAAAAAAATAGTAACATGACAATGGATGAGGATGACACAGATTGATGTTTTATTCAACAGCACAGAGAGCCATTACTTAAGCTGAAAGTCACATGTATAAACAAATAGCACACTCACGCACACAGACCTCCTTTACAATCTCATTCTGCAGATATTCGGCAAATATTCGCATGACGACTTGATTTTAAAAAAACGGCCACGTTTTCATGTGTGCAAGGGGGTGGAAAACCAGGCTGGATCAGTAACAGGTGACACGGTGAGAAGTGAGACCGCATCAGGCACGGGAGTTTCGCTCCTCCTCTTCGTTCTCCAGGAGGTAGGCCGCCTTGTACCGCGACACCCCCCTCCCATCCACCATCTGGAGGGAAGTGTTTCGACAGGTGTTGTCCATACTGCCAAGTGAGGTGTACCTGCAGGTTGACAAGAGACGTTTAAGACCAAGAATTCTGCACTGTGATGTTGTGAATAACGGATAAAGAAAGGGTTAAAACTTTGAATGTATTCTTACCCTTTATCATAGAGAATACAGTAGGGAACATATAACGTCCTCAAGAGCGACCAGATGTCACGATACGTCCAGTCCTGTAGAGTGTTGCAAGACATCAAATGTGATTGGTTCGTGATTGATTCACAATCAGTTCAAATGAGGATCCCTTTGAGATGCACTAATGTGATGAAGGGCAACATAAATTACCGTGTAATGAGATCAACTGGTGAGCTTCTCCTACACGCATCGTTTGTACTATTGCTGCTGTCACAGCATGATCGTTAACAGCCAGTCCAAAAGTATTTGCCATTTCTAAATCCATTATTAAATCCAAAATAAACAGCTATCGACATCTATTCTTCAGTTAACTGGAGCAGATGAAAGAGCGACAACATCAGACGTTGCTGCCTACATCAGATGGACTCGCACGGTGTCATAAAAACCTGCAATAACTTCTATTATGAGAAGCTTTCGATGTTAAATATTTGGTGTTGACTTCCATCACCAATTTGTTTTGGGGTTATATTGGACAGCTTGATATTGAACAGGTGTACCGAGTGTGTGTGTGTGTAAGAGAGAGGGGTGCAAAAATATTCATATCATCTTTTATAGTCATTACTGCGGGGCTGTTGAATTGCATTAAACTGTGCAGGTGCTCTGATATTTTGTTGACACGCTGTAGATCTGCACTCTGAAACTTCAGTCAAGATGACAAATAACATCATGTGTAACAAGGGGTGATTGCCTGGCTGGAGCAGTGAAAACTGATTTGTATCACCAGTCAAAAAGCAGTTTCTCCTCAACAAATGTGGGGACACTGAAGGACTGCTATTGATTCTTATTTTTTTAAATGAATGTCTACAAGTGCTCTTAAGAATAAGGCTGCATGTCATTTTCACTCATAAGAATTGGTTGATTTTGTTTTGAAGTGAATTCTTACATGATACGACTTTGTGGTCTGTGACACCAGCGACAGGAGCAATACAATAAGGGAGAAATACAAAGACTTAATGACTATGTAACTTGTGTGTGTCTCACCAGTAATGGGTTGACTCTCATGTAGTCTGGCCAGCCGGGGTCAGTGGGACACATGGCCGCGAGTGTGTGCGAGTAGGGGTCACTCCTCCTGGTTCCCATAAGGACAGCTTTCAGCTCCGGCCTCCTCTCCTGCACCTCGCTAAGCGCCTGCCGTATACTGCCCTCCACGGAGAATATCTCCAAGTCATATCTGTGGGAGAATTAATGAGTTGTGGGGGATTAGGATACTTCTTTTGACAAGATAAAATGAATGAATGAATTAAAATATATAAATACTGAAATGTGTTTATTGACAGTATGCAATATGGTGGACTGGTGGTTCACCTCTTTATCGTGTCCTGAAGGAATCTCTCCATTTCTGGGAATGGAGAGACGATACGGATATAGAGGGCTTTCACCTTGTCTTTACCATCTGGGTATCGTCTTAGATTGACATGAGGAGAGAAAAAAAAAAAGATAAGTGGGACACAGAATAAGATTAGATGTTTACCATTATCACTATCTCTCACTATCTATCCATCACAGGTCAAGAAATGTCCAAACAGTAGTCTGTCTCAGTCTAGCTGCTGCTCGCTTTCTTCTTCTTTTACTTTCTACAGTGATGCCCCGCTGTTCAGTTGTGGTATCATTATGTTTTTAATTTGACTCTCTTTGACCCACAGGTCATTTGTTTTTGTCCCGTTTAATTCAGCCCTTCCACTAATTGTCTCACTCTGCCCCCCCCCCCCCCTCCCCCTCCCGTTACCGTTTCAGCGCTGCATAGTAGAGATGGAGCAGCGCTGTGCAGTCTTTGCCTCCGTTGAAGCCGATGCAGACTTCCTCCGTCGAATACTGATCCAGTGCAGCCTCTATCGTTTTCAGCGCGGACATAACTTTCTCACCCAACAGTGTGCCTGCGGGGCACGAAAGCAACAGCAGGCGAATGTTTTACAGTGAGTGTGGACAGCTATAATATAAATAATCACTCATTCTTATGTCAAATTCAGAGAACACATCTTTTATGCCATTCTCTGATCAGTCTCATGCCAGTTATATTATCCTTTCTTTTTACAACTCACTATGATTTTACGATAATTACTTTAATCATTTTGCTTCCTTTATTGGTCCCGATACCCGTGTAAAGATTAAGAGTTCTCTGCAATATCCACTTTATATTAAGTTGACTTTGTTTAACTTTCACTCTCCCCCCCCTCTGCCCTCTCTCCCCCCCTCACCGCTGTTGGCCAGTCTGTACACCTCAGCAGTGGCGATGGACACCGAGTCAGTCACTAAGGGCACCACGCTTCCCTTCGGCAGCTCGTCCAGCAGCTGTGCCCGGGCTTTGTCCACCTCCTCCTGGCTATCCGAGTCCAGGACCAGCCGGACTCTGTGATAGTTGCTCAACCAGTCGGGGTAGGAGCCAAGAGCCACCTTCCGACCCCAAGCAGCCTGCAGTTTTGTCAGCACGGGGGCGATATCTGCTTCGTCTGCATCCACAAACACCTAAACGCAAAGATATCGTGTCATAAAAACTCCGTATTCAAGTGGATCTGTAAATGATAGGTTTGGTCATGTTGTTACCTCACGGGTGTGAAAAGTGGTCCCTGAAGCAGCAAAGACGTGCTCCAGCCCACTGAAGGCCCTCTCCATCAGAGTCGGGATCCCAGGAAAGATATACACGTTACGCACGCTGACCTGGGAGAAGATCACACGTCATATACCGAGAGAATGTATACTGACCTGCCCGTCTGTGTTTAGTGACGTTTGAATCTCAGCTAACCGGAACACAAATACTTGCAGCCGTGTATTCCTTACACTGCCAGTTTTCTGCAAATGTTCAATGTCATTTTGCCCACTTTTCACTCCTGCAGTCTCTGCTAAGCAGTTGATGTTGCAATCTGTCTTCCAAAATAACCCCCAGAACAGGATGCAACAGAGAGAGTGTGTGTGACTGCGAGTCCAGAAAGTTGTGTCAGCTAAATAAATGTTTGCCCCGAAAGCCTACTGCAAAGGAAATGGGACGTCAGCTTTAACAAAAGGATGCAGGCAGTCAGTAGGTGGAGGGTACTGATCATTTATATCTACTTTACTGTTTAATAACGATTGTAGCTCGATGAAGGAGCTAATCCTCCTCCGTGCTGCCTTCACTCACCACCGGGTAGCGGAGCAGTTGTCCAGTCTGAGGGTCGGTTCCATAGTTGAGATGGGCCGAGCGAGGCACCATGGCTAGCTTCATGGCGGCACTGTCCTTATCGGCCACCCCGTAAAATTCCTCAACCAACCGGGCGAGCTCAGGGTGGGAGTGCAACTCCTCTTGGAATGCCATGGCGACACTCTCAAAGGTGATGTCGTCGTGGGTGGGGCCTATGCCCCCTGAGGTGATGAGGTGTGTATACTGAGGGGAGAGCAGGGCCACCTCTTTGGCGATGACCTCCTGCACGTCGGGTATGACCGTTATGCGCAGCACGGACACCCCGAGCTTTCTTAGGGCTCGTGTCAGAAAGGCACTGTTTGTGTCCAGTGTGTGACCCTGTGAGACGAAAAAGACGGGAAAGAAAAACGCTCAGTCACAGCGAGAGCATGTTTAGAGACATGACATTGGACAAAGACTTCATGTTTAAATCATGATCGCGTCACGTCAAAAAGTAGCGGCGAACTTGTCGTTTGAAGACAGAGCACTGCTGCCACATCAAATAACCATCACAAGGTTTTCCTGGCGATATACAATGTGGATCCCGGACTGCGTAGCGGTGCAGACAGCTGAGGCATACTGATGAATTAGAGTGTCACGTTAGAATGTATAAGCACGCAGTCAAGCGCGCAGATTTAGCAGAAGAACAGTGAGGGGGTTTAGTTAGATTTTCTCAAGTCCACAGACGTTCAAGGATTCTCTGTGGGATGCTGTCAATCATACAAATACAGCGTAGTCGCACAACAAGTACAATCACCTTGAGTATCTCATCTCCGATGATGAGAATGGCTGCAGTGGGAGCATCCCCGTTGGCTGCAAAGGACGGACTGGAGCCCGGGTTGTTTGTGGACATGGTTGCTTTAGAGAGATGCACCGCCAGTTTCCTCACACGCACCACTGCTCGACTCAGTTTGGGGAAAACCAGGCTAGAAGACAAAGGAAAAAGTGCTCACTCTTCATTCAGCATTTTGCTCTTTATGCAGGTATGCTTTGTTCACTTTCTATAAGTGCGTTTTAAATATACACTTTTATTGCTTTTGTGATGACTCATACTCTAAGTTCATTTTGAATCTTACGTCAACATGAAGCATCCATATGGAGTATGCTTAATTGTTTCAATACAGTTTAGGCCTTCTTCTCCTTCATAACTTGTCTCCTACCAGGGAGTATCTTGGAAGAGACATGAGAAAGAGCAAATTAGATACAGAAAGAAGTGGAAAGTGAGAAGAAACCATGAGCGATTTGTGGATTTCGGCAGCACAGACAGTGCAACAACTAAAAATGTATTTCTATTAGTTGTCTTTTGACATATGTCAACAGATTAAAGTACTGATGAGTTGCATTTAAGATATATTATAATAAATGTATCGCTGTGAAAAGTATTCTAATTCTATTTAATAAGTCTGTTCACTGTACTTTCAATAGGGTATAGTTAGACCCAAATGGCCACATATGCATCAATGACACTGCCGGTGATACATACGGGATAGCCAAGCTATAAACTGCTGACATTGCAAGTTTGGTCTGTCTACAAGTAGTCTGAAGCAGGTGTGATTTACTAATTGGCTGGCATGGAAATGCAGTGAAGACTTGCCAAGATAATTAGCTAAGTGAGAAAGCTGGATCAAGGATCAAAAGGTGTAATGGACAGCTGAGTTCAGCAGTCAAAGCAGGTCACGTGAACATTCAATACCGGTAGTTGTATCAATCCCTCTTTGTATTCTATGTGAAGGATTTATAGGAGTTACAGGAGCATACTGTTATCTTCTCTTAACTGCACATTATATCACGTGACAAAGTAGTGAAGTTAACCTCATACACATTCATAAGAAATAAAAAAAAAAATTAAAAAAAACTACCATAAATGATGGTTTATTGTCAATAAAGCGTAAGGTAACAAAGCTACGTAAGTCTCCTTGCTACCGTTGTTTGCGTCACTAGCTTCAAGCAAACGTTAGCATTCAAGTACACGTTCATGGTAGATTATAATCCGTCTATACAGCCGATTTCTCGCCTCTGCCACACACTGTGAAGGAACACAATATATTGTTTCTATAATTTTGGAAACCAAACTGAGGCAACTTACTCCTGAGTCGCATATGACCTCGTTGCTTATCCAACCGTTCGTGGGTACGTGCATTGAGGGTACACGTCACTCAAACCCCTTTTCGTAAACCGTCCAATCACAGATAAGAACGGGATCCAGAGAGGTCCGACAGCCAATCAGGTTCACGGAATTCTGTCTCGACGGTCAGCCTTTATCTATGCGGAAGTAAATATCCCGATGGTCGCAGAATGAGCAGTATGTGTCCTTTGGACAAAGTAACAAATAATAGGCTGATCAGAACAGTACCGACAACTCGTATATGTGCAAGTTTTCGTTTTGCACCATCTTCACCATGGCTGGCGTATAGCAGTGTAATACATTCTACGAAGACCTTCCTTTCTTCTTCTCTGCTGCCCAAAACATAAGCAATGAACGTCACTGTGACTCGTCTGCCTCTGCTGGCTGGAGGAGACGAGATCCGATGAGTGAACCTCCTCCACCGTCCTAATGTCATGCTGTTAGTGTTTCTCGTCTAGAGGTGGCGCATGTTGGCATGTACATGAACAGCGAGTCTGCCTCCGCGGCTCTATTGAAACAAAGTGGAAGGTTCATTTATTGTATTCCACTTTGCTTTATTTGCGTGAGATTACACATGTGGTATAAGTTACATTATATGTAAGCAATAAAAAAAGGAGCACATTGAACTTCTGTGGGTGGTATCAATCATGCAAAGCATACTGCACAAGCACTGCATTTATGCCCACTCACCCGGATACTACCAAACAGTCATTTCAAGCAACCATTTAATGTTATGGTAAGTCTGCAAAGAAAAAGTATATGGAAGCCCTTTTCTGCTAGGAAAAGAAAATAGAAAAAGAAAGATACAATTATATCATGAAACATACTCATGATAAGTCAAAAATCATGAAATAATAAATCAGAATTAAGACAAAATTCTGATATAAGTGAAAATTATGAGATATGTCAATATATAGGCCTGTAATACATTTACATCTATTATGTACTTGTTTTAGAGAGGCTTATCTGACAGATAATGCATTTTGAAAATCAAACGCACAGGTGTGACTATTAGAGTTAACAATGGCTCTGTCTGTTCCAGTGTCCCAGTAAGCCGTAACAGTGTGACAGGGAGCCAACATGTAGATTAGGAATTCAGCCATCATTTATTTCATTATTTACACCAGCGCTGTCCTTACTGTGACATGTCAAATGTTTTCAGTGACAAAGGGCCTATTGTGCATACATAAATATCTAATCTGGGTGCATGTGAGCTGGTCTGCATGAGCTAAGTCAAATGTTTTGCTCATGGACATGTTTACCTGTTGGTAATTTTACTGTGTACGGTATAGTTTAGACAGAGTAACTTTAAACATGTACTTATATGAAAATCAAATCTCCATCAAAACATTGCTCATGGCAATGAGGAGACTAAGGAACTAGTGACTGAAACAAGCAAGCTTTGTTTGAAACACAGGACAAAATTGTTCAACTATTAATTTTGTCCACCCCATTTAAAACAGTGAGGAAGGTCACAGAACCGTGTGATGCAAAACCATCACAAACTACATCCCACAAACTTATCAGATGAATCAACAACTCTCTAAAACAGTTTCAACTAAAACCGAACTATATAACCTTCATGAAGGGATGATTTACTGCAGAACTGTTATATTAGACTGAATTAGTTTCAGCTAGGTGTACCTAATAAACTGGCAACTGAGTGTGTATGCCTAATATTTTAATGCACATAGGACTACCACATGTGCAACATTAAATGAATACTTCAGGGCTGCTATTACAGATAAACAAATAAGGTTGATGATGACAATACAGTGTATTTTTATTTGATTTTGTATTATTACAGGCAATTGGAGTCTTGTAGTAACTTGCGGACCAAAACATATATGGCATTTTATATTTATTGAAGGGAACTTGCGTGTTAATGCTTTTGGCGCACGATCTGGGGGTTTCTACTTTTGCGCAATGTACACTGAATCATTCGGCCAGGTGCATAACAGACACACGCACACACACACACAAATACAAACACACACACTCAGTAGATCCGCGGTCAGATGACGTTGCCATTTGTTCGCGGAAGTGGCTTCTGTCGTGACCGTGGAGGGGGGAGGCAGGGGGAGGAGGAAGGGAAGGAAGGAAAGAGAGAGGGAGGAAAGAAGAAGTTTAGATTAATCTCTTATGAAAGTTAATCAAAACTGTGAAGCGCGCGGCGGACAAAACCACCGACCTTTTGTCCCGGTAGATGAAATTAGGCCGAATTTTGAGCAGCGACGGCTTGGTGGGCAGGAGGGGCAACTCGAGGGAAAGGGAGGAAGAGAGCTGGTAAGTTGCTCGTTAAAGTTGACCACACTTTTGTGTTGGGGCATGGTTTTCAGATCTGTCGCGTGCTGTGCGTCAGTGTACCGCAGTTATTGTGCATGTGAAAAGTTTGAGGAAATAGTTCGCTTACCTTTTTGGTGCCTGCAGGGAAGCACTGTTCTGTAATGGAGATATTAAGACGATACAATGTAGCCTGACGGGTTACTGTAACAAAAAACAAACAAAAGAATTGTTGATCATAAATGTTTAACTTCGTCCTCGCGCTGTCAGACGAGTTTTCAGGTTTCGTCTTTTGAGCTTGAAGTCTGAGTAGCTGCCAGTAGAAACATCGCAGAAACACAGCAGCACAGTCACTGATAAATGACTGTAGTTGGTTTTAAAATAAGCAATGATGACCAGTCAACCGAGCGGCCACAAGCCGACGACTCTTTAATAAATGAATAGAGAACAGCTCACTAACGAGCCTTTTGGTTGTACACAGAAATATCCTCAAAATTGAGTCAGAGCTGAAATGATTCATTGATGATAGAAAGTTGATTGGCAATTCATTTGATAATCAATCAACTGTTTGAAGCCAACACTTGCTGGTTCCTTCTTCTCCAATGTAAAGATTTCCTGCTTTTCTTTGTTTCATATAATAGCTAACTGAATATGTTTGCATCTTGGACTGTTGATCAGACAAAACAAGTCTTTTGAATAAGTCACCTTTTGAAATATTCAGATTTTTCTCTATTCTCTCATTTTATACACACAAAATGATTGAGAAAGTAATTGGCAGATCAATTGATAATGTAAATAACCGTTGCAACTTTAAAACAAACCCTATAAAAAAGGGTCAGAGTCGAAACTAAATCTCTCCAAGTTGCTGTAAATTGTCAGCGAGATAAGCTATAGGCCTAATCAGTACAGACACACACACACACACACACACACACACACACACACACGGAGATCTTTTCACAATTACACAGCAATCTTACACTTTTGCTCCTCTATTCCTTCTGTGTGGAGCATATCCATGGCGACTGATCATCAAAACACACCTCCGATGTGTTGAAACGGGGTCGCTGTGACTTACGGTTCACCATGAACGAGTGAAGGACAGGCAGACTATTATGGAAACGGACTCAAGGGTATGGGGGATGATTGAGGCGACTGAAAGCAGTGGGCTCAGTGCTCTTATCAGGGTCAGCCACACCGCTCAGACCGGCAGCCCCCTGACATGATATCATATGGTGGAAGTTATCTCCGCTGATGAAACGGAGGAGAAGAGAAGGTCCAATCAACAGCTGATCCCTGAAAAATGGTAGATTCAGGCCAGACGCATGGCAGGAGCCAGACAAACAAGACACGTGCACTTACACACACACACACACACACACACACACGAAAATAACACAAACGGGAAGGACGGTCCGAGACACAACCTGTCAGTCAAAGAGGAGCATCTCGGCCACTCTATCACAACATTGGCACAATCCAAAGCCACTTGATTAAAATTGGATCTGTCCAATTCTGCTCAAACCGTATCAGTCGGAGGTGAAAGCCTTCGCCCTGATTGACGGCACAGCGTGACACTTGTGATTGTTGCAGCTTCACTTTGACAGGTGTGTGTGTGTGTGCGTGTGTGCGCTAGGGCACATAGCCATACACTCACCCTCAGACACACACAAATAGTCATATTTCTTTTGTAAGAGGTGAATGTTAGTGCTGATATTTGCCTTGAATTAGTCTTGTGATACTTGGCTATTGATAAGAACACAGTGGCGAGGTATTAAGCTGCTTTAAACATGTCGAGGCTGTTGACTGTGTGTGTGTGTGTGTGTGTGTGTGTGTGTGTGTGTGTGTGTGTGTTCTGGAAACAAGCTGTAGGAGTTTGTTTTTGAGGTCGTAGCATGTGGTTGTCCGTCTCTACCTCGACACAATAGGACTGAGCCTCAGCTGTGTTTCCTCCTGCACTGGTCGGTGGAGTGCACCATGCTCAGCGCTCTAACCGCAGTCAATCCTGTCCTGTGCAATGTTAAGATATTAGAAGTGAGTGTAGATTGGTTGTAAATCACACACACACAAAAAAAGCAGTCCTTAAGTCACACTGTCATGACAGTTGAGGGTATTATTTTGGATTGACTGGCTTCGATTGGTTTATGATTAACTTTGATGTAGATCCAGATCAGGGCTCCTCCCCCTCTGTCTAGCCTTAGGTAATGCATTGGGTGTGAGACTGAAGTTGTACCTCTGCCAAGAAAGGTCACTTTATGGTTAGGTCAATATCAGGTCTGGAGCCGACTGGATTCTGATTTCCTCGTCTGTCTCCGGTCGAGATGTAATCTCAGTTTTATGCTTTTGATTGTTCCCTATACTAATTTCAGAGAATAATACATCACCAGTAAGATTATGATCACTGAATTATTTTACTGCTCTGCAAATACTGAGAGCACTTTATTTAAATATTGTAGATACAATGTACTACAAGACAAAGCAGCGATTAAAACCAACTGTTGTTTGAGCAGCTGAAAAAACAGGGACTTGGAAACATGTTTTGCTAAAATAGTTGGGAAGCTGGGATACTGCAAGATGTATTTGAATTAGATAACACAATCTAAATGGTGTAAGCAGTATGTACGATGGAAGAAACAACAGAATTACTTTCTTTATGTTTGCAGACCAGGGACTTTTTTTCTATCTTTAGTGTTGCATAGAAACAGAAACCGTTTCCCTTTAGCTTTGATTTGTGATAACGTTCACCTGGTTAGTGGTTAATGTGGAAGTACCATCACACTGGGTCTGGTTGACGTGTTTCAATACTGTTGCCGATACAATATTGGTCAGGTGGAAGATGCATGTGTTGAAGCATCTACTTCATCCACTGTGGCTTGTATTGTACCTCAGTTGTACTTCGCTTCAGACAAAAATGAATAAATGTGATGTAAAATATAAATATACTTGAATTTTTTTTTTTTTATCTATACTAAACCTGTAGTTTTTTATATCTTGCTTTGGGCAACATTAATTCCAACCCTCATTTTGTTTTTGTTTACAAATCAAGCCAAACTTCCTAAACACAACAC